CTGCAGAGTGATGACTTTTTTTGTCTGTAATTCACAAAAAAATGATGGAGGATCACAATTCATGTCAGTGGATTGGAATGCCCACACAGAGAAAATCATGGAGTCTTGAAATACTGAAGAAAGTATGCAGTATAACGGAAAGGCAAAGGACTTGTGTTCAAATCCTAACTATACTACCTGAGTGACTTTGCATAAATCGCTTTATCTCTATGGTTCTCGGGGTCCTCCTATAAAATAAGGAAGGCTGAACTAGACCAACTCTAAGGTCATTTTGAGTTCTAAATCCTATGATCTTAGATGCACATGCAGAATAGATCAGACAGTATGCTACTTCCCTCCATTTCTAAAAATAAGAGCAGATAAATAATAATGGTTACTTGTCCTATTAGGAGAAACTTATGGAATGTTGTTGAGTTTCTTTTCAAAATGTATTTATTCTGTGGTAATAGCCTTTTTTTAAAAAATGTTTCATTGATTCTCTTTTCTTTTTTTTCAACATCACTATCACTTGCTAATAACTTTCCCAATATAAACTCCTCCCTTATAATAAATAAGTACACTGACATGAATACAATGTCAATCTAATAATGGCTCTTAAATTAGAAATCCAGTAATATATTTTTATGTCCTACATCCTGTTGGTCAGTCAGAATTAGAATCTTCTGTCCTATAATTATGGCATGGTATGATGTCCATTGCTTTTCAGAGAAGCTCTTGTAAATATAATACCTAGTTAACATATGTAAAATATAAATATCCAGTAACTATAAATAAAATTAAAAATATATTCTAATTTATCATTACTATTATTATATAGAGGACAACACCATCCTCTCAATCCCTCAGTTTCTCAATTTAGGTGTCATTTGTGACTCCTTGCTATCTCTCACCCTACTCACCCACCCCAAATCCAATCTGTTGCCCAGGCCTATTGATTTGACCTCTTCAGCATCTCTTGAATATGTCACCTTTCTCTCTTCTGACATTGCCACCACTCTAGTGTAGGCCCTCATCATCTCATGTTTGGATTATTGCAATAACTTGCTTGTGGGGAATGTCTGCCTGCCTCAAGTCTCTCCCCATTCCAATCTATTCTCAGCCACCAAGCAATTTTACTAAAATGTAGGTCTGATGAATTCCTGTGGTTTCCTATTGTTTCCAAGATCAAATACATACTCCTCCATTTGGCTTTGAAAACCCTTTATAATCCAGCCTCCACCTACCTTTCCAGCCTTCTTACACCTTACTGCCTACTAGGTACTCTGATCCAGTAACACTGGCCTCCTGGCAATTCCTCGAACAAGACACTCCATCTCTCAGTTCCAGGTGTTCTCTCTGTCTGTCCCCCATGCCTGTAAGGCTCTCCCTTTTCAACTCTGCTCCCTCATTTTCTTCAAGTTGAAACTAAAATCCAACCTTCTACAAGAAGTCCTTCCAAACCCCTCTCAATTCTAGTACCTTCCTTCTGTTAATTATTTTCTATTTATCCTATATATAACCTGTTTGTACATATTTGTATGTTTGTTTTCTCCCCTTGTTTCTTGTATCTTTTGTGTATTTCTACCATTTAACGCAGTGCCTAGTACATGGTAAATTCTTAATAAATGTTTAATGACTGACTGTTAGGAGGTACTATTTGAATTTAACCTCAGCATCTGAAGATAGACCAACTTCAAATTTAGTCTTCATCAACTAAAATAATGTTTCTTTGAAAGGAAAAAAAATGTAGGTATACAATGAAAAAGAACGCAGGGAGTATATATTCAGATCAAAATGCTAAAGTATTTTTTAAACTGCCTAAGAAATTAGTATAGATGATAAAAATGTTACACAGATATCATCATTCAAAATATTTGTGGTTATTGATTATGATTTTAAGGACCAGTCATATTTAGCTTATAGAGAAAGAATTTCAGTAGATGATTGGCATTAAAACAGCACATCTACTGAAACAGATGATGAAGTATAAAAAGGATGTAAACTACTGTTAAATCATACTGCTTTTTCAAAAAATATTAAGTATGTCAGAGTCACTAAAAGCCAGGGAAGGTTAAGTTATATGACTAAATAAAATCTGTAAACAACTCCAACCTGTGGCTAGTAAGACATGACTCAAAAGTCAACTAGAACCAAATGTATTCTCATTCAAGAAGAATGCATTGACGTTTGTTTTAAGTTTTCCTAGCCAAAATAGTTTTATCTCTACAGAATAACATAAGCTTCTTGAGGTCAATGATTATTCTATTTTTTTTACTTTTTGTAATCACACAATTTAACAAACATTTGTTGAATTGAATTAAATGACTAATTTGGGTTTAAAGGCACTCAGCTGGCTCCAATAATTAATTACTGACTGGCTTTTGGCAAGTAACTTCCCTTGTTGGAGCTTCACTTACCTAATCAACAAAAGGAAGGGTTTGGAATGCCGACATTTTTTGTTAATATTTTCTCTTTCTGGGGGCAGCTAGTGGTGAAGTGGATAGAGCATGGACCTTGGAGTCAGAAGGACTTAAGTTCGAATTTGACCACACATACTTACTAGCTGTGTGAACTGGACAAGTGATTTAACCCCAACTGCCTCAAAAAAAAATCCCTTTCTCATTCCCTCCAAGTGTTCCCTTTTCTTCTTTCTATTTAAGTAGAAAATTTTAATCATATTAACTACCAATAAAGTTTTTAAAATTATTTTTTATAAAACTAGACACTTTTCATAAATAATGGCTACATATGAGCCTTCCCAATGAATATTCAAGTAATACTACTACACTCCAGTCCTTAACCCCCCATAAATTCTGGCATGTCACAAAAACAGAGATAGAGTTGGGTGGGGGAGAAGATTGCATCTCTTCATTTTGCAACTACAATGATTTGAATTTGCACATTGTTTTGCTAATTTGCAATCTTTTCATTTACTGGTCTTATTTAAATGTTTCTGCTATTAACTATTTTCTATTACGAAGAGAAAGTAAAATAGCAATAAATGTGAAGGAAAGAGTTGAATCAAATCCCAGTGTTTGATTGGGTATTATCTAAAATGGAATCATCTGTGAGTTGACCTAGCCCTCTTGTTAAAGAGAAAAATGAGAAAAGGAAGATGAACTTACACATACAGTGGCAAGCTTCCCAAGTTCAATCACATATACCTAAAATGCTGGTTGCTTCTCTAAATGAACCTGGTATTGGATTTGACTGGTAGCTATTTAAAATTACTTGTTTTTGTTATTCAGAACTTAAGTAATACTAAATAAAATGAGTGCTTCCATACACGTAATAGAACAGAAAAAGAGGAAACTGTTAATTTCTATTACATATAGTTTGCTTTTATTTTTAAATATGTAACAAGTTTAAAACATAACTTTCAAATTATAGCTGTTCTTTTTTTGGCATTCCTTCTGTTCTCTTCTGTTCAAGTTTTTTTTTTAAAAAAATTGCTTCAATCACCTTGTTTTCTTTCTTTATTTCTGTATCCTATCTCCTCCTACCCTTCCTTTTACCCTTCTCCCATTGAAAAAAGAAAAAAAAAACCTTGTAACAATTATACATAGTCAAGCAAAACAAATTATAATCATACTTTGGGACCTAGTAGCTGTACCATGTTGGCCAGGTCTGAAAATATGTCTTATTCTACATAAAACTACTTGTTTTGTTGGCCCCAGGAAGCACCTTTAAGGAACATAAAACTCCACGAAAGGAGCAAAGTCATAATTTATGATTTAGATGGTGTTTCTGGCCTTAAGTCTTAGCTATACAATTTGATGACCATCACCTCCAGTGTATAGGAGTATAAGATTTACAACTGAAAAGGACATTAGGTTCACTTAGTCAATCATAGGTTTACCACTTCATCTTAAAGACAAGGAACCTGAGACCCAGAGAGAAGAAACTGACTTGTAGAAAGTCAGAAGTAGAAAGGAAAAGAGCTGAAATTTAAACAAAGATCCTCTCTGATTCCAAATTTAATGCTTTTTCCACTACACCAAGGAATAACTATTTCCCCTAAAATCAACAAACACTACAATTTTCAAACACAAAATTGAATGACTACCTATAACACTGAAACCCCTTCTACTAACCACATCCATGGGAGATCCAGAACCACAGAATATTAGAACTGGAAAAGGCCTTTGAGACTATTGTTCACTAAATTGTAAACTCCTTGAGAGCAGGATCTATATTTCCAAGATGACTGCCCCTTCTCCCATCACCACCATATATAACACAATGTCTTTCTTACAGTAGATATTCAACAAATGTTTTTAATTGAGCCAAATAATTTTTTTCACCTAGAAACCACAGAACGAAAGAGATCATAGTAGGTAAAACACCAGAGTGAGAAAGTGAGGCATTATGATATAAAAGAGTTGGTTTTAGAGTTGGGGACAAGGGTTCAAACTCCATTGCTCTGTGATCTTAGGTAAGTTACTTAATATATCTCTGGGTCTCAGTTTACTCATCTGTAAAATGAGGGAGTTGGCCTAGAGATTTGTCCAACCTCCTTATCCCGCTCTAAATGTATGGACATAAAACCATTCAAGGCTGAAAACGATCTTTAGAAAGTTTTTGGTCAGAACTGGAAGAGCAATTAGAAAAACGTTTGAAGAAGAGCTATAGCCTTGTGAATACTGGACACCTTGGAAGACTGAATATCAAGGCTAGAAGAACCCAGTTAAAAACATTATGTTTCAAGAGAGAACACAGAATGTTAAAGCTGGAAGTGATTAAAAAAATAAAATGTTAGAACATAGAACTTAAGCGCTGGGAGGGACCTCCTCCAAATCCCTCTTCTTCCCCCCCAAACCCTTAAAAGATAGAGAAACAAGCCCAGGGAGGTGGAGTAACTTAGATGTCTTTGACCCTGACAAGGTCAGGAAGGGTGGTCCTGAGTTCTGGAGCACCAAGGGTCTGCCTGAGTGTGTGGCAGGAGGGCTGGGTTCTCCGGGACACCTCGCCCCTGGCCGGGCAGCTAGGCAGAGGCCAGAGGGCGGGATGGAGGGGCTCACCTCCCTCCACTTGAGCTGCCTAAGGCTGATCTTGAGGGCTTCCAGGGAGGTCCTGGCCTTGGAGCTGTCCACGGTGACAGTGAGAGGCCGGCGGCCCCGGGACTCGTCGGGCACACGCACTCCGGCGGCCTTCTTGCCTTTCGTCTTGGTCCTGATCCTGGCCACGGGGCGGGGGCGGCGTTCCTGGAGGCTGACGTCGCCTTGCTCAGCCGGGTTCTGGACTGTCAAGGGGGCTGAGGAAGGGACCCGGGTCTGGAGCTCGGCCTCGGCGGGCCTTTCGGGCTCGGGCTCGGGCGCGGGCGCGGGCTCGGGGTCGGGCGCGGGATCAGCGTCGGGCTCGAGTTTAGTGTCCAGCTCGGGCTCGGGCTCAGTGTCCGGCTTGGGCTCGGGCCGCTGCTCGTTCTGCTTGGCCTTAGGGTCGGGTTCCCCCTCCGCGCCGGGGTCCTCCAAGGCCGGCAGCTCTGCGGGCCCATCCCCGCAGGCCCGCTGCATGGCGCTCAGTGTTGCCCCTGCTTCCCCGGCCCCCGCAGGAGCAGCCCCCACCCTCCCCACTGAGCCCCGCGCCCGCCCGCAGCCGTAGCCGTCCCAGCAGCTCCAGCCGCCTGCGCTCCGGCCCTGCCGGTTGCCATGATCGCCTCTGGTTGACAACCGCGGCCGCCTTGGGACGGGGTGCGAGAAGGGACAATCAAGAGTCCAGCCCAGGAGACCTCATAGGAGGAGCATGGTCACGTGGCTTGTCAGTCACAGAGGCTCCGGGTACCATGTTTGAAACTGGCAAGCGAGCCCTTTTCTTTCTCTTCTCTTTCTCATTCTTTCTCTCCTTCTTCCAGCTGTCACTCTGCTCCTCTCTGTGTAGTCTTCTTTCCCTCTCTCTTTCCCCCTTTTTTCCTCTCCTTGCTTCCTCTCTTTTTCCCTCGTTCTCAAACCCAGGGCTCCTTCCACTGCATTCCCATGCAGCTCCCATTTCCCAAGTTAACGGAGTACTTTCTTTACCACCACCCTGTGAGGCAGGTAGTGCAAGGAGTATTGTCTCCGCTTTACAAATGGGGAAACTGAGATTTAGGAAAGGAAAATGACTTGCCCAAGTTCACTTAAACAGTATCATGTCTCAGAGGATAGAGGATAGAGCACAGAGCCTGGAGTCAGGAAGACGAGCTCAAATCCGGTCTCAGACACTTCGTGATCCCGGGCAAGTCACTTGACTGCAGTCTGCCTCAGTTTTCCTCATCTGTAAAGCAGGAATAATAATAGCACTTACCTCCCAGGATTGTTGTGAGGATCAAATGAGTAATAGTTGTAAAGCACTTAGCACACATAGTAATAGCTATATAAATGATAGCTTTTATTATAATTATTATTGCTAGGTGTGTGACCCTGGGCAAGTGAATGAACCAAAGTTTGCCTCAGTTTCATCAGCTGCAAAATGGGGATAATAATAGCACCTACCTCCCAGAATTGTTGTGAGGATCAAATGAATAATAGTTGTAAAGCCCATAGCACAGTGCCTGGCACATAGTAGGTGCTATATGTGTTGGCTATTATTATATTAGTATTACTTTCCCCTTCCATTTCTTTATAATAATATTGCATCTATTAGGTAATTAAGAAAATAAGATTCAGAGCTGGAAGGGATCTTGGGGGTGAACAAGTCCAGTCTCTTCCTATAGCAAGTGAAGACCCTGAGAATCAGAGGTAAAATTACTTGTCCAAAGTCACACAGCTTCTTAGCGTTGCTGAAATTTGAACCTAGGTCCTCTGATTCCAAATCAGGCGTGATTTCAGTTGTGCTACTCCTATGCTGAATTGAACGTTTACATTGTGTGGTAGAAAGCCAGATTTGGGTGGATTTGGCTGGGTTCAGCTCCTAGCTGTATCACCTGTGTGACCTTGGGCAAGTCATTTAACCTCTCTGTGTCTCAGTTTCTTCATCTGTAAAACTGAAGAGGTGAACTAAATGAGCTCCAAGTCTTTTCCAGCTTTAAATCTATAATTCTGTACTCATATATTTGATTCATACTTTTACAGGAATTCTTAGAGATCATCTAGTAGTATGAAACTCAACTAGAAACAGATCCTTTGTGGGCCACATATTAACTTAGAAAAGTAGTAATCAACATTATCTATGTTGTATTTTTATTTATTCTGTTAAACATTTGTCAATTACATTTTAATCTGCCTCATAGGCAGCTGCAAGTTTGACACCTCTGATTCTAGTCCGTCCTCCTCACATTTAGATAAGAAAAATTTGGTCCAGAGTGGTTGTTGCTGAGTTAGGAATCAACTTCAGGTTTCCCAATTCTCAGTCCAATGCTCTATCCACTGCTTTATGCAGCCTATAGGTTTTCTATTTTATTTTTGCACATAAGCAAGTAAACAAATATTGAACTATATTAATTCTATAGTCATGGGTGTCGGGTACAGCCTTTTTTTTTTAAGGATCATGACTTTTCCTAGAATACATTAAAACTTTGTCTCTTTTGTGTTTTGTAATGTTAACAGTTGCTATTAATTCCCTTGTTAAAGGTTCTTGTAAGGCTGATGATGAGAAAAGAGCATAAAGGAGAGTTTAAGGGGGGGAGACAATAGATAGTCAAACAAGTAAATAAAGAACTCTGGAAATCTGGTTGAATCCCGGGGTCTGACATCTAATAGCTGTGTGACCCTGGTCAAGTCACTTTATTTCTCTGAGTCTTAGTTTCTTTCTAAGCTAGGGACAACAACACTTTAACTTGCTATCTTGTTCTTGTAAGAATCAAGGAAGCAGTAAATGGGAAAGTGCTTTGGAAAGAGGCAGAGATAAGATGGTAGAGTAGCAAGAAGGACAGCTGAAGGGTATGGAAACCTATCTTACCCTACTGGAAAATAAGTGGGCAAGGGGACAAGAGAGCAGGGGGTTGATAGAGGGGAGGGCAGATTGGGGAAAGGGATAATCAAAAGCAAACACTTCTGAGAAGGGACAGGGTCAAAAAAGAGAATAGAATAAATGGGGGGGTAGGTTAGGATGAAGGGAAATATACTTAGTTTTTCACAACAGGACTATTATGGAAGTGTTTTGCATGACTACACATCCATAATCTGTATAGAGATGCTTGCCTTTTTAATAAGAGTGGGTGGGGAGGGAAGAAGGGAGAAAATTTGTAACCCAAAGTTTTAAAAACATATGTTAAAAATAAAAAATTATATTAAAAAAAGGACAGCTGAGCTCCCCAACCCAACTCATGCACAAAGATTTAGAAAAAGCACCACACCAGTTCCTGGTAGGGAAATCTAGTAAAATTTGAGAGTGAATCATATTTCTAACCAGATCAGCATAGGGAGACAAGAGAGGTCTGCAGACAGTGGGGATTGGATCTAGCCAGCAGCATACAGCACAGAGCATTCCAGCACACAGGAACTGAGAAAGGACACACACTGTTCAACAAGAAAAAAAGAGATCCAAAACTCTTACAGGATGGCCCCCACTTTGTAGAAGCTTCAGAAACAGCATGGCACCTCTATTTCATCACAGATGCAGGGCAGACTGAGGAGGGGACATGTGCCTATGGGTGGCATTCCGTGGGTACGAAAGAGTTGGGGGGCCCTAGGCTATGTACTGGGAATGGAGTAGACCTTACTCTGGAGCAAGGAACAAGTTCAAAAAGAGACAGCTGTGTGGCTCTGACTCCAGCAGTTGAATGGGGTTTCAATTCTATCATCCAGCTCAGTCAGAAGCCTGTAGGGAAACAACAAGGACTGAAATCTCTGGCCTTTCTTGGTCTCCCACTAATGCTAGTGCCTTCTCTATATTATCTCCAATTTATACTGAATGTAGCTTGCTTGTACATAGTCGTTTGCATGTTGTCTCCCACATTAGGCAGTGAACTCCTTGAAAGTAGGCTTTTGCCTTTCTTTGTGTTCCCATCAATTAGCACAGTGCCTGGCACGTAGTATACACTTAATAAATGTTTATATTCTGACTGAAATTATGTCTCTCTGAACCTGTAGAGCTTTCCAGCTGGCTCAATCCAGAACTCAACCCAGGGGAAAGCTCACAGGTATGTTGTCTGGACCCAAACCCAGGTAAGGAACATGCAGAACTCAGACTGAGTGAGCAGTAATAAGATTTTACCTTGGATCAGACCACTTCCAGAGCCCTGAAAACTTGCAGGTCCCCAGCCTGAACTGGCTTTGTAAGCTTGCAATAATACAATACTCAATACCCCAGAAAAGGAGCAGAAGAACCCAAGAGGAAGATAAAAGCTTAACCTAGACATTTCCTTTAAAACTGCTCAGAGCATGACCCTAACATGAAGTCTGAAGTCAGGAAGTAGGCTAGAAGAATGGGGGAGGGAGGCGGCAAGAATCCCACTACAAAAAGCTATTATAGTGATAAAGATACTCAAGACATAAACCCAGAAGAAGAGAATAACTCCAAAATATCTACAAGCAAAATCTCAAAGAAGAATACAGCTTGAGCACAATTTCAACTAGAATCACTGACAAAGATGAAGCAAGAGTTTTAAAAAAGAGCTTAAAAATTTTTTTTAAATCAAATGATGATACAAGTAAAAATGGAAAAAGAAATTAAAAAGTTATGGGAAAAGCTACAGAAAAAGTTCTCTATAACCATAAAGTACTATTTTAGTAAGCCTGAATTTCCTAATCCTGTTCAGTTAAATGGTTTTTTTTTTCTGGAAAAAAAGTCTCACAGAGAATGTTTTCCAATTGCTTTTAGTAAAGCCTTTCTTCAGTGAAACTGTACGACTGTGCAATTGGTGGAAACAGAGGAAGAGGAAAAATAGGGCTATGTATAACAGTGTCATATTAATGTGACACTGATGTTATTTGTGGCATTCCAAACAGTCATAACTGACTTGCCTGCTACTTATGACTACAGAAGGGCAGTATACCACTATTCAGAGCAAGGGAGTACAATATCTTACTTGACCACCAAGTGGAGCTCTCCTAGAGGCAAAAGCCCAGTGAGCCTGTAGTGGAGATAGTCATCAAGTGCCTAGTAGCTTCTAATAATGCTTTTTGTTTCCTCTCTGTTGTGAATACACCTTTATTCATTTTTTCATTTTGGTAATATATTTATTCTTTCTCTTTTTCTTGATCATGTTAACTAATGGTTTATTTAGTCAGTTAATAAACATTTATTAAGCATAATGCTAAGGTCTGGGGATACCAAGAAAGAGGAAAAAAATACATGCCCTACCCTTTGTTATTCTTTTTTTTAATAGCATTTGTTTTTACCAATTCAATGATATTTTAAAATGTCAATGTTTCTGAATTTCTCTCCTAACCTCCAAGCTTGTTTGTATTTATTCTGCCTGCTAATTTGTTTATTTTCTGGTCTTTTAAAGGGAATACACAGTTCATTGATCCTTTTTCTTAATATTAGTTGTTTTGTTAAGATTAGTTTTCAAAACTACAAATTTCATTTTGAGAGCTGCTTTACTGACTGACTGAACAAAGAAGAGACTGCAGTTCTTTCACGATGAACCAACAGTGCCGTTTCAAAGGTTTTGGTATACTCTCTCATTGGTATATCTCTATTTTTTAATTTAAATTTTTGTTTTTATCTTT